ACCCCCCCCCCCCCCCCCCCCCCCCCCCCCCCTATCCTGCTTGGGCTAAAGCTTCGAGCTCTGGACCTTCTTCTCGTCATACACTGTGAACCCCGTCTCTTGGAGAAAAACAACCCTGTACACTTAAAGGCACAATGTTAGTCATGGCTTGCCACCACCACACATCCGCGCCGTTCCACTAGGGCCAGAACTCGCCGTTCCCCCACCATTGCTGCATCTTGTCCCTGCTGTAAACCAAACACTCAGAATAAGGCGTACCAACGGACAGACTAGATTGCCATGCCATGTAATCTTGATGCATTTTGTTAGCATCACTAGATTACCACACATCCCGTGGTGTCCTGCTAGGGCTTGAATCCGTCTCCCCCCACCCTTGCTGCATTTTATTCCCATCATACACCGCCAACCCCACGCTCGGAATCTCCTCCGGAGCCTCCTTCACCCATGCGTATGTCCCCTTTTCAAACATCCTCACTATCTGCTCCAAGCTCTTCCCTCTCGTCTCGGGTGCAAGAAAAAAGAAAAACACAAAAGCGACCACTCCCATCCCGGCAAACATGAAAAACGGCCCCGCAGGACTGCCCGTCGCATCGGCCAAACTCAAAAACGTCATCGCGACCACGCCAGACGCGATCCTGTTGACAGCCGTGCCTATACCAGTTGCCTGTGCTCGCAGCCTCAGGGGGAAGATCTCCGAGGTGTATAACCAGTTGATGGGGCCAATACCGATCGAGAAAAAGGCGACGTAAAAGCAGAGGCCGGTGAAAGCAACAATGGCGGCTGTTGGGACTCCTGTGGTGGCGGTGACATCTGCGTCAACAGCGGTGGGGAGCTTGAGGAAGGCCAGGGCTTGAGTTAGGAGCGCAATCGTCATGCCTGGTGGGAAGGGGAGTTCATGAATGAGAAGGGTATTGGGGAGTTGGGAGCGGTTTGAGCTGGCTCAAAAGCGTACTGGAGGGTGCGAAGGTCATGGCTTGCACTGGGAGGGCACCAGATCCTTTGCACATTTACAGCAGAGGTACCAACGCACACTCGCAGCAGCCAAGCAAGCACGCTCACCTGCAGTGCACGCTCACCTGCGGTGGATGCAAGCAGCAGCGGTCTCCGTCTGAAGTGGTCCAGCATGCACGTGGCAATTCCAACAAACGACACCTTGATCACCCCCATCAGCATATCCTTTGAACCATAGACGGCAGAGTTTTGAACGAAACACAGCAGAGGCACTGGTTCACCCTCGCGTCAATCACACACACTCACCTGCAGTGGACGCTAGCAGCAGCGGTCTCCGTCCGAAGTGGTCCAGCATGCACGTGGCAATGCCAACAAACGACACCTTGATCACCCCCATCAGCAGCGTCGCCCCCAGCAGCGCGCGCGTAGACGTCACCCCCGCATCCCGCAGCACCACAGGCGAGTAATACACAGCCGCGTCAATCCCCACCGCCTGCTGCAGGAAATTTGTGCCCACGCACACCACCAGCATCCTCCCCACCGCCGGCGTCGGCCAGAGCAACTCCTTCCACACACCCGTCCCGCCTGCACCCTTCATTGGCCGTATCACGTGGATTTCTTGCTCTTCCTCGTCCATATACACTGTATCTCCCGCACCCTCGGCCCCGCTGCCTCCCAGCCGCTCGCGGGAATTGCTTCTGCCCCGGGCAGCGGAAATATCCGAGCCTTTGCTGATAACTTCCTCCTTCAGCCCTGCTGCTTCGAGAATCTCCAGCATCCGTTCATGGGCCTCCTCTTTGCTGTCAGATATGGTAAGGAGGATATCCTTGGCTTTTTTCACCTGCCCGTGCATGATCAGCCAGCGCGGGGATTCGGGCAGGAAAACCACTCCTACTGCGAGGATAAAGCCCGGAACGACTCCCAGCCCCAACATCCACCTCCAGGCTGTATCCACGGGCAGCCCGGAAAGAAGAAAGGAGGTCAAGAAGCCCACTACAATGCCAATGTTGATAAAAAGCTCCCCGAAAGAAACCAGCCCGCCCCGCTGACCGGGAGGAGAAATTTCTGAGATGAACAGAGGAGGTAGAGCAAGACCGAATCCGACACCAACACCTGTAATGACACGTCCTGTAACGAGGATAGCGTAGGTCGGTGCTAACGCCATGCACAGAGCTCCGGCGATAAAAATCGAAGCGGCAGCTCCCATTGCGAATCTACGGCCCGCGAAATCCGCAAGTCTACCAGCTGATAGCGCGCCAACAAGGGAGACTATATTGAGGATGCCGACGAAAATTTCCTGCTGCACGTGGGAGAGGTCGAAATCTTCTGCCACGAAAATGAGCGCTCCGCTGGTGACGCCAATGTCTGCATGCCACGTCAGGAAAGGGAGGTCACAACAGAATCGTGGAGACGAGAGTGGGTCACGGCTGGATACTCCGGAAAAAAAAAAGAATCATACATACATTGTACGAAAAGCATTGGCATTCGTCATACTGAGATGAATGAGATGTCACAACGCAGAAGCACGACCAGACACATTACTCAGGATTCTCGTGTTATAATGCGTACCATATCCAAGAAGAGCCAACGATATGGATGCCACAACACCAATTGAGCAATTAGCGATACTCTAGCTACACCGCGTCCCATATCCAAGAAGAGTCGACGACAAGGATGCCAGAAGCACGACCGATTGGATTCGTTAGAAATGCTCTCGCTATATCGCTTACCATATCCGAGAAGGGCCGACGATATCGATGCCAGAAGCGACACCGACAGCACGTACGGCTTGATCGAACCCCAGCTACTCCGGTGACTGTTACCCCCCTCGCCGTCTATTGCGGTACTCGTCTTCCCGTCTCTCGCAGGGCTCGCCGGCGGCGTTCTCTCGTTGACCGTAAAGTACGACGATCCTTTTGGGATGCTCGCACTTGATTGGTTCGCTGGAAGGCTAGACGGAGCATCGGATCCTGACCGCTCATCTGCTTCGCTGCTCGTCATGATGACTGCAGAAGGTGACCTAGACGTTACCTGAATTCAAGTCGATACATAAACGGTCAACTCGCCGAATCCGAACTATTCTACTCACACTGGGACGCAACGACTCCTCCCACAGGGACAGACACGCAAGGAGTGCACTCGAGAAACACAGGCTATACAGACATCGGTGACTTCTGCAAGAAAACCCCAGCAATGTGCAGCTGGAAGAAGGCAAGCTCCCTAGCACAAGCAGAGCTCAGCAATAATTGTCAGCCATAGATAAAACCATTCGGCATTGCCAGTGAGATGAACTGAGATATCTGGGTTCAGATGCGATGGGGGAGTCGGAAAATGGAGAGAGTGGAAAATGGGGAACTGGAGAAACGCGGTGGGCTACTGGTGGTGAGGAGGAGAGAGGCCTGTGCGGGCGGGAGGCGCTGTGCGATGTGTCAGTGGCCGCTGCCTGGGGATTTTGAGAAAAAATCTCGAGGTTTGCGAAGAACCGCGAGCGTCGCAGCAGATGTCCTTTCAACAGCCATTATCTCCGATACTCAGATTTTGCATGAGCGCGTTCTCAGGTGTAACCACCAACAGAAACACAGTTTTTTGATATAGTCTGAATCTATTCTGTTTCATGCTTGTCTACAGTCACTCAAAAAGAGGAAGTCTAGCACTTGCAATAAATAAATATAATGCCCGTAGCGAACCTATATGTTTTCCGGGAAGGATCAACCCTGAACACCGAAAGCCTCCAAATATTTTAAAAAATATATTGCAACCCACTTGACAAAAAAAAAAACCCCACCTCGGAAAGGGATGCGACTCGGGAGGCTTCAACCCTAAAAACAATGCCCGACCCCTCTCGAAAATGCATCCAGGCTCCCTAGGGTTTTTATTTTTTTCTGCCATGCCCGAATAGGTCTCGGTAGCGTCGTCTAGTGCTTTCGGAAGCGTTGTTTAGCGGTCAGCTGCGCTACTGAGCACTACTAAGTGAATTATATGGGCTTCATTCTCTTACTACCTTAATTTCCGTACATATATCCAGGTCGGGAGGGTAAGTGGATGGTTTTGTTTTTGTCACCTCTTAATGAGTTCGACCAGCGTGAGAAATGTGACTAAAAATCGATGACCAATCAACGTTGAGAAAGTCCGAGTTGAATACACCTGAGAGCGCGCTCAGGCGAAATCTGAGTGACAAAGATAATGGCCGGTTTTTTCAAGGAATTGTTGTCATCTCTTCTCCGTTCTACCAATCACCGAGGCTCGGGAAAGCTGCGAAGCCATCGGCCATCCAATCAAATACTCCTGCCAAACCTGGTTGGTGTAACTGGTCGACTTCAGAAACGCGATTCTACCTGACCAGGGAGATTCGCAGTGCGAACTTCTGGCGCGATCCTTCCCCCAGCACCTAGCCACCGCACCTGACGGCCAACATAGATCCGTTATGGCATTTACATTTCATTTATAAGCGAGTACAAGAAAGCTATATCAAATCAGCAAGCATTGCAGTGGGAATAAGCTTAGGAATGACAAATCTGCACTACTCCAATTCCTATCTGCTCTCTTCTCCATTCTTTGGCATCTCCGTACACCGCTTTTGGCCGCTGACTCGCCTACACATGCGGACAGCCCCGTCCGCTTGCCTTTCCACCTCGCAAATGCACCCTGGAAAAGGATTTGCGTAGAAATTCTCCTCCAGCTTCGGATTTTCACCAACCTCTCGCAGATGAGGAGCACCCATTCCTTCTTTGTGTGCTTGCCTGATGAGCCTCCGAAACGCCTTCCACCTGATTTGTCGTGATTTTAATTGGTCAATGTGCCGAATGATGGCTTCCCTGCGAAGTGGGCACACCAGAGAAAAGGAAAATTAGTGGAGGAAAGGGAAGAGTAGCAGGAACAGGGAGGGAGTTGGCCAGTAAGAGACATTTCAAGGCTTTGTCTTTCTTGATAAAGTCCAAAAACATTACCACATACACTCGTACGTGTACACAAACACATCGCTCTGCACGGCCACCGCCACTCGAAACAACCACCTCTGCACCGCTCGGCATTGCAATGCACCTCTCTCCTCACCTGTTGGGGATGATGGTCCTCCTATGTCCTTCAAACCTTCTGTGCCCCTGCACAGCCCGAGCCATGTTCCCCTCGTACGTGTACACAAACACATCGCTCTGCACCGCCACAGTGTAGTCCACAGCTGCCAGCCGGTTCTGGTACGCGCCTATGCTCGCCAGCTCTTCAGCAGTTGCCAGCGTGCTGTGTGTGTACGTGTTTGGGTACAGACGAGTCAGGTCCTGGTGGTGGTTGTGGGGGGGTTGGTGGTGGTTGTGGGGGGGTTGGTGGGGATGGGGGCAGGGAGTGAGAAGCAGAGGGTGGAAAGGGGAGCTGGGGATGAGGAAAGGCTTTGAGTGTGAGCCAGTGGCACTGGGGGAGTTGAGAAATTCAGTGCAACAAACGATTCGCTCTGCACCGCCACTGTGTGGTCCACAGCTGCCAGCCGGTTCTGGTACGCGCCTATGCTCGCCAGCTCCTCTGCTGTTGCCAGCGTGCTGTGCGTGTACGTGTTTGGATACAGACGAGTCAGGTCCTGGTGATGGTGATAGGGATGCGGGCAGGGAGGGAGCCAGACACACAGAGGATTGAAAACTACAGGTAGAAACAATCCCCTCTTTCTTGCCTTTCTTTTCATGACACAGCTGCTGCCCCTTACTTCTATCCTCTGCGTCCGGTACCCTACAGTGGCCAGCTTATCAACCACAGACATAATCCTGAGTGTGAAGTTGAGTGGGTACTTGTACTTGCTACAGCGCCAGCTGGAGCTGTAGATATACCAGCTCTACTCAGAGCTCCCCTCTCCCTCACCTCCAGCCCGTTAGATCCGTAGATATCCCCAGCTGCCACATAAATGAGCGTTTTATTCGGATACCCCATGGCGCGCAGGAAAAGCGCCGTCTCCCGTGGGGTGAGCGGGCACGCCCCCTCCGTTCTCCGCGCCTCCCCGTCGATCTCCTTCTCCTTCCACCTTGAGTTGTTGAGCCGCATGGCCTTCAATTCCTCCCTCTCGGATGCCTGCAACCCGTGATCGCATCCTGTGAACGCCAACATGTCCTTCTCATATCTGGGAGGTCGGTTACAGGGGAGAGAAGAGAGCGGGTGGAAGAGAAAGACGAAGTTTGAGTCAATTTTGCCTTCTCGTTCTCCGGAAAAAGATGCTTCCTTGAAAGTAAAAAGTAGCAAGAAGCTACCATGCAGCAAGCACAAAGCAAGTAACAAGCAGCAACAGGCAAGAAGCTCAACACACAACCCACCTCAAGTGCAGCGCAATGTACGGCCCCCTCGCGTGCAATCTCGAGATCAGATTCGCCGCAATCTGCGAGATCGACGGCGTGTAGCGCAGAGACTTGTAGTTGGCGCGGCACCGCAGCCGTTGGATTGAGTCCGGCACGCCGTTGTTGGCGAGGCGCGAGTCGGTCAGAGGGAAGCGCATCACCCGGTGCTTCTTGACCCGTGGCAGCAGGTCCTCTCGGTAGTAGGAGAACTGGCAGGGGGGGGTGGACAGGCAGACGGGCGGGCAGGCACACGCGCGTGGGTGAGGGGGAAGCGCATCACTCGGTGCTTCTTGACCCGCGGGAACAGGTCCTCTCGATAGTAAGAGAACTGGAAGAGGGGAGGGAGGGGGGCACGACACTTGATGAGGCTCAATGTCAGCTTTGGTGTGAGGCTCGGTACGGTGTGAGGCTCGGTACAGTGTGAGGCTCGGTACGGTGTGAGGCTCGGTACAGTGTGAGGCTCAGTGTGCAGCTCAGTTTGCGGCACTAGCTTGGGCAAGGAAGCGGAGAGATCTTACCGGCGACCAGGAAACAGAGAACTTCTCGAGAGGCTCGATGTGTTGCACACGTTTGGGCAGCTGGCGCGCACACTTGGGTCCACACAAGGAGATAAGCAAAGATGGTTCCATGGATAGCTCTGGGTGAGCTCAAGGCAAGAAGGCTTACCGGAGACCAGGAGACGGGGAACTTCTCGAGAGGCTCAATGTGTTGCACGCGCTTGGGCAGCAGGCGCACAATCCGAATGTCCTTCTTGAGCGAGGAGATGAAATGATCCAGGTCGAATATATCCTCAAACTCGCTGGGTTGGGAGGGGTGTGGGGAGAGGGAGAGGGGTGCAGAGAGGCGCAGAGAGGGGGGGCGAATGGAGTGAGGGGGAGGCTGGAGTAGGGAAAGAGGGATACAGACGGAGGAGTGATGCAGCTCGAGAACTGTAACAATTGCCAGGCCTTGGATGGCCAGTCTTTTTTAGTCGACTAGAAACGCCTTGTTGATGGTCAAGTAACCAGACAGAAAGGAAGGCAGTGTGGTGGAGTTCCGTTCGGCCCAGTAGGCAGTGTGGTGGAGTTTCGTTCGGCCCAGAAGGCAGTGTGGTGGAATTCTGGAATTGAAAGCCAGGCCGTAAATGGAAGGGAGAGAAGGAAGGAAGGAAGGAAGGGACTGACCTGAGGTCGGCCCAGAAGGAGGTGTGGTCGAGCTCGGGAACCAGAACGGTGCCAGGTGCTGTGCTGGATGGCCAAGAAAAAGACGGAAATGTGATAATCACGTGCGAAGGGAAGGGACTGACCTGGGGTCAGCCCAGAAGGAGGTGTGGTCGAGCTCGGGAACCACGAGAGTGACATTCATGATGCGAGCTACAGCCACCATGTCACAGATCTGAAGGGGCAATGGACGGGGAAGGAGAACATGAGCATAATGAGATGTCATGCCTGTCTGTCACATGGGAACCACGAGAGTGACATTCATGATGCGAGCTACAGCCACCATGTCACAGATCTGAAGGGGTTGAAGAAGGGAGAATGGGTCTACAGATTCGAGGGGTGAAAAAAACCCTTGAAGGGTGATACCTATGTGTCACTTACAGGGCACATACAAGGGACAGAGTGAGAAAAGCCACACACTTTGCTCCAAATCTGCAGATGTACTTTTGCAGATGGTTGTTTTGCTTTTCCCTCAGTTTCATTCTACTTTGCTTTTTCTTCTATTAAATGGGTTCTTGTCGGGATAGCCCCTTCCCAAAGCTATTCGCTCTCCAGCCCCAACCCCCCGCCTTCTCAAAAGATAACAAGTCCCACACTCACACCCCACACTCACACCCCACGCTCACACCCCACACTCATAGCCACTCACTCACAGGCCCACACTCATGGCAGCTCTCATCTGGTTGAGGCCCCCATTGGCTGTGACCAGCAGATAGCCGCACTCAACCACAGCCCAGAACTCACAACCGCACTAACAGCATCACAGTCACACACCTCACAATCGCACACTCACAGTCACACACGCACACCCCCACACTCACGGCAGCTCTCATCTGGTTGAGGCCCCCATTGGCTGTGACCAGCAGATAGCCGTTGGTGGAGCCCTTGACGGGCACTGGGGGGGAGAACGAGAAGGGGGAAGGGGGAAAGCGGGGGTGGAGGAGGGGCAGGGGCAAAGGAAAATCCAATGGCTGTGATCAGCAGGTAGCCGTTGGTGGAGCCCTTGACAGGCACTGGGGCAGGGGGCGGGAGGGGGGTAAGGGAAAGAGCGGAAGCGACGGGGGGAACAGAGGCAAGGGCAAAGGGGGAAATCCCTTGGCTGTGACCAGCAGGTAGCCGTTAATGGAGCCCTTTACAGGCACTGGGGGAGGGGGGAATGGGGGAAGAGGGGAAAGAGGGGGGATGTGGCAAGGGGCGACGGAGGAGTTGAAGGGGGCGAAATGGGAGTTGAAGGGGCAAGGGGACCGGAGTAAAACGGAAACGGATGCAGGCAGGGGTGGCAGAACACGGGGTGGGGAGGGGTTAGGGGAGGTTGGAGGAGGTGGGGCGAATTCAACAGCTTGTGCTGACGTTTGAGTCGAAACAACGGCTACAAAGGCATTTCAGACTCTCACGAATCTCTGATCACATGTTTGAGCTAATATATTCAATTTCACCAACAATCCTCCCCTCCCCATCTTCCCCTTATCTTCTCCTCTCATTTTTCTTCCGTCTTCCTTTCCCTCCTACCTTGCATCCTCCCTTCCATTCTCCCTTCTCTCTCTCCTCCTTTTCTTCCCTCTTCCTTTCTCCTTTCCTCTTTCAGCCCGCCCGCCTTTCCCAACCCCACTTCTCCCCTTTCCCCCCTGACATACCTTTATGGGTGCGGGAGCGTGCAATGCACTGCGCATATTTATGGCTCTTGGGGGCTCTCCAAAGGAATTTTTCTCTAACGGGTATCGGGGGCGCGTGAAAGAGAGTGGCGTTGAATCCGAATGGGGGCAGAGGGACGGAGGAGGACGACTGAGAGTAGTCATTGAAAGGAGAAAGTGGGGAGACCAGGGAGGATGTAAGAGGAGTTCCGCTCTCTTCATTCCCGTCTTCATGCCTCCCCTCGTCTGTATGCTGCTCGTGTCCCCCTCGATCCTCGTCACCGTATTCCTGATCCTCCGTTCCTCTATGCCCACGCTCCTTCGTCTCCTCATGCTCCTTCGCCCCCTCCTCATGCCGCCCCTCGTCTGTATGATGCTCGTGTCCTCCTCGCTCCTCGTCACCATATTCCTGATCCTCCATTCCTCTATGCCCACGCTCCTTCGCCCCCTCCTCATGCCCCCTCTCTCCATCCTCGTGCTCCTCTCCTGCTGCCCTCTGCTCACCAACCTCCTCCCCTTCCCCTCGCCCATGCTTCCCCTCCCCGTCTCGTTCCTCTTTCGACTCAACTGCCGACCCTCCTCCTTCCTCCTCCTCACTGCCACCACTCCCGCGCTCTCTGCCGCCAGTTCCCTTCATACCCGTCCCGTTCTCCTCATCCCCCCCTCCCTCATGCTCCTCATGCTCCGCGTCTCCGTTCCCCCCTTCCACCGCCTCGTCCGCAATACGGCTCCTTTTCCTTCTATGCCCTCCTCCTCCCTCCCCCTCCCCTTCACCTTCCGCGCCCTCCAAGTCCTCTTCATCTTCCCTCTTCTCCTCTGAGCCCACGTGTCGCCTTCTCTCCTCTCCACGCATCTTCTCCCCCGTTTGCTCTCCCTGATCCTCATCGTCCCCAACTGAATCAGCCCGCACGCTTTTTCTTTTCCCAACTCCCTCGACTTCATCCTCCTCCCCTCTCTCTCCCGCTCGCTCGCTCCCTGCTTCCTCCTCCTCCTCGTCCTTCCGGATCCTCCTCCGTAGCTCAACATCCCCTTCACCTCCACCTCTCTCACCTCTCGGGCCCTTAGGCTTCTCCTCCCCAGCATGAACTCCTTCATTCTCCCCTTCTCTGTATTCGTCCTCTCCCTCCATATTACTTCTCCCTGTACGGCCTCTGCTTCCCCTCCCCTCCTCGTCCAAATTACCTCTCATTTCCCCCTTCATGTTTTTTTCCATCAACACACTATCTCCAAGCTCCCTCCTCGGCAGCCCATTCACTTTCCCCTTCCTCCACAATCCATCCCCATTCTTCGCGATTTCCGCCGTTTGTGGCGGCGGTAGATCTCCGTCCAATCCCAGATCGTCACCGGAACCTGCGATGAATACTCCGGCGTGGTCACCTCTTAAGTTGCGGCTCGCGAATAACGCGTGCTGCGCGACGCCGTTACCGTTGAGAATTTCGCCCGCAGGCACGATCTTCCCCTGATGCAATTAAATTGGCGACAAGTTCACGTAAAATGAACACAGTTGAGTTACTCGTGATGTATGAATGTCAAACGGAGGGGCTTATAGGAACGGAAAAACACTCGGTGACGCACGCCTGTCTCATTGTGCACACGACTTGTCAAATCAAAAACACAGCCGGCGACAGTTGAGCATGTTGTGTTCTGAAAACCAATCAAACAGGCCCGAGGGCTTATTAATGTCGCGTTGTTGACATTTTTCTTTTTTTTGTTCCAACCTTGAGCCATTTCAAACCGAAGTCGCACGCACCACGCATGCAGTACGGACTCTGACCGAAGCGTCGCAAGCATGAACGTACCTTGCTGGTACCTTGCTTGAAAACGGTTCTATCGACTCAATGGGCGAAACGGTCACCATTAGAGCTCCACCGAGAAGAAAACAGATGCAAGGAATTTAAGATGTACGGTTACCTCTTAAATCGCGTATGTTGCTTTTTCAGTATGCTAACCATTTCAGAAAAACGAACATCATAATGAAAACTGCGGAGCAGACGGAATTTAGATGCAACGACTTCCAACTGTTTCACGCGCTTTATTCTGCGAACGTACCTTGTTAAGTGCAGGTATAGACTTGAAAGAAACGGCAACCATCATAATCCCGGCGAACAGGAGAAACATGGACGCTCGGAAGCTCAGCGGAACCACTCTCTTCCCCTCGTATGTCTTTCCCCTGAGCCACCTGCTGCCGTCCGCATGCGCCTTCCGCACCGATCTCTTCCCCTCCCCCGCTTCCGCTCCCCCGATCACCGTTCCGCCGATCACCAATCCTCCAACTACCATCACTGGATTGTGAGCATTGCCAGTCTTAGGCGCAGCTGCAGGTCTACACGAAATCGACTGATCACCGGGAAGCCAGTCGTTACACGGATTTGCGTGTAACGGGGATGATTCGTAACTGTGTGGAGCAGCAGAGTTAGGATCTGACGTATGGTGGTGGAGGTGGAGGAGGTGGTTGTGCGGAGCGGCGTGTAGGTGCACGTTGACGGCCGGCTGTTCCGCCATTGCCACCGCTTATATAGAGTACGTAGTGCTTATATAGCGTACGTACGCCTTATAACAACGTATGAGCCGCTTATATTCAACAACGCTGTAACACACCGCTTATATAACACACACAATTCCAGTCTCGTTTGCTGCGAGTTGATGGAAAACCGTAAAAGGCGTCTAACGAGCAGCTATACGGGAATTATGCAAGGAATTAGCCTTGATCTGATTGTTAGTTTTGGGGGATAGTAAAGCTGCGCGGCATTGTTCAAACACGAGCTTCCCCTGAGTCAAACTGCGTTCGTTATCCTATCTGTAGCTGTAATAGTTTTTGTGACATGGACAGAAAACGTTCAGTGCGCCTTGGGAGGAAAGAGACCCAAACTACGTCACTATCGTGTCGCATCGCATCTGATGAATAAGCACAGATGCGCGCACAACAACCCCAAACAGTACAGCTAAAACTTAGAAACGAGAGTGAGAAGGGTGGTCATGTGACAGGTAGGCATGGAAAAGGTAGTGATGGAGCAAAACTGATCTGGTGGGAGTGAATGGCGGATGGTGAACTGTACTGTACGGGACGAGAAGTGAAGTTGACAGGTTCTGATGAAGAGAGATCATAGGCAGGTGGTGAGTGCTGCAAATCGGCAGTCTCTAGGTGTGAGTGTCCGTTTTTTTAGGGGTCGGCTGCGTTTCTGTAAGGTTTAGGGAGGTACTCAGCATATCAGAGGCAGCCCGAGTTTGGAAAGAGGTTGGGGAGGGAAAGCTATGGCCTCGCGAAAGTCCTAGGTTGCGTTGCGACTCCTGCCTTCTAACCGACCAATGAAACACAGGAAGCGCTAGTGGAGAAGGTGAGGTCAAAACAGCCTTGGGAGGTTCGCGCCACGTCAGGAGGGTGCTCCTCCTGACCAGGACTACTCGAGGTGCACCAAACCAGAACTTGCTGTCGCACGAGTCACAGAACCTGACTGGGCGACTTCCCATGCGACGAATGTGCGCACACATGTCCCTCGCATTCGGATGGTCATCGCGAACGCTGAGACACCGTTGGATTGGCTGGAACAGTCAAATGGGCTCCGTCGAATCTCCTGGGCCGTCGCTTAGGCTCGGAAGGTTGCTAACCGAACGAAGTCTTCTCTTGGGTTTTGGCGGGGATGCAGGCAGGCTGTGCTGTGCAAGGCGGGAAGTTTGGTGAAGCTTGTTGCATGTGGCTTGTATCGATGCCAACCGCCTTAGTGTAAGGAGTAGAGTTCACATATTTCATAAGCCAAACGTATATGCACTATGCAGAATTTGTTGCGAGAATATTCAGAATACCATCAGGACCAGCTTGAATAAGAATGAGTGCCAACAATGTGTCCCTCCTGTTTCCCATTTCACCTTGGTGGCCCAATCTGTTATGGATTGTACTAACAGAGTGCACGGAAGACTTCTATAAAGAGAACGTGATTCCAACATCATGAAACAATGAAGAAAGCGAGCATTTACAGGGCGGAAACTAGCTGGGCGAGAACCTCGTGATGTGCGTGGCTCGGAAATGTCGCGATTGGTGATGGGCGACTCGGAATTGGTTTGGGCCAAAATGTAGGCCGAACCTGAAATTGACGCGCAGTGTTCGGGGCTGTCATCGCTACGAGCAGCCTTTACAGTAATGAATTGTAATTCATTACACTCGCCCACCTTCTAGATAAGGCCCCCTTATCTGTAGTCGAGTCTATCGGTAGCTGGAAAACTGCAGATCTCGGACGAAACTGGTGAGACGGTGCAGAAGCACGTTGACGTTCAAGTTGACGCGTGGCTGACCGCGTTGACCAGGCGAACTTTAAAGAGTTGGGTGTCAGCCGTTGATATTGCCGATATCGATCGGGCGGTTGAAAGCGAATTTCGATTTGAAATCCTTCGAGTAATGAAAACCGTCGATGTGGCAGATCTATGTCGGACGGTCGAGATGAACATGTTGGTGACGGGAATTCTGACGCGTTGTCAGAGATCGACTGAATAAGGACACGTCGATGTCGATGGAGTAATCGCGAGCGTCCGTTGTGCTGGATGGGTCAGACAAATCTGTCAGGAAAAACTGACAAGTACAGTGCGAGAGAACTCTTCCCCCCCCTTTGAAAAGGACTGCCACCCCAAAATCTCCGCGTGGCAGCATCGAATCACCCTTCTGCTGCAGTATCTTCCGTTGCCAGTACCTGCAACCCCGAAACTGCTGCTGTTGGCGTGTTGCTGTGGCATAATCGAAATCCCCGATTGCTGCAGTATCTCCAGCTGTCAGGTGCTGCCACCCGAAAAAATCCACTTCGTCACATGTTGAACCTGTGGACATTGTCGTCTGTACCATGACGACGAAGGAACTGTCCTGAAAATCTTTGGTCGTGATTCCGGATTGTGTAGGTTGTCAGAACTATATTGTGGGCTGTAGTGGGGCACTCCTTATGGGGTACAGTATTGTTAGGTTTTGCCTATACAAACCTTGTACTGCCCTGTTTCTACTCATTCTCATTTCATACCTTGTGACATGGTTTCAGAGAAGATTCCCTAGTGGGAACGTTTTTTTAGGGCCCACTGTGTTATTTTTATTTTTTACTGCCCTGCCCGAAGCACGCGTCGCGCCTGCCTCGCCCTAGTGCCGCCCTTAGCGGCCCTTCCCTTTGCGGCCCGTAGCGCCCTTCCCCTACGGCCCGTCGAGGCCCGATCTCGTCGCCCTTAGCGGCCTGCCCTGCAGTCGCCATCCTTAGCTGCCCGCCCTGCCGTCGCCGCCCTTAGCAGCCTGCCCGCCCCGTTGTCGCGGCCCTACCTACCCTGTCGCCCGTCGCGGCCGTGCCCTGCCGCCCTTCGCCACGGCCCTGCCCCACCGCCCTACGTTGCGGCTCCTGACATGCGGCCGCCGTCGCGGCCCCTGAACTGCCGCCCCACGTCGCGGCCCCTTACCCTTCAGCAGCCGCCAAGGCCCCGTGGCATGCAACACCCGTCGCCCCTGCTGCCGCCGTAGCGGCCCTGCTGCCGCCGTCGAGCCTGCAGCCGCCGGTGCAATCACCGTCGTCGTCGCCGTTGAGGCCCCGCCGTCGCGGCCCTGCCCTGCCGCCCTGACGCGGCCCTAACCTGCCGCCAAATCGCGGCCCTGCCCTGCCGCCTTGTCGCGACCTCTACCCTGCTAGCGCGCCACGGCCCTGCCCCACCAGTCGCGACCTCTACCCTCCCCTCCCGCCATTGGTAAGCGCACCGCCGCAGCCGCGCCGCCCTTCGAGGGCGCCGGCCTGCCGAGCCGCGCCGCCCTGCCGAGCCGCGCCGCCCTGCCGAGTTGCGCCGCCCTGCCGAGTCGCGCTGCTACTGCTGCTGCTGTTGCTAGGCTACTTCTGCTGCTCCAGCCGTCATGGCTAGCCTTAATGTCCTTACCTTCGATGTTGAGGGTCGAGCAGTCGATTTCGAGGTCTGTGTCGATGATCTGCAGCTTTTTCTGCATTGTGACTCTAGGGATGGAGTCTCACTGTTCGATTACACGTCCGGCGTCTCTGTTGCACTTGCTGCCGATGCTGACAGTGCACTCCGTTCGTAGTGGACCACACGCGATGCTGCTGCTCGTCTTGCTGTTCGTAGTCACCTGCCGTCTGCTGAGCGCGTGCACTTTAGCCAGTACAAGACTGCTAAGACTCTGTACGACGCTGTTGTTGCGCGCTACTCCTCCCCTGCCACTGCTGCCCTTAGCCGCCTCATGCTGCTGTACCTGTTTCCTGACCTAGCCGCTTTTGCCACTGTCGCTGACCTCATTACGCACCTCCGCACTAGTGACACTCGCTACCGCGCTGCGCTTCCTCCCGAATTCTGCGCCAAGAACCCCCCCCCCCCCTATATACATCACTCTCTACTACCTAGTCACCCGCCTTCCTGACTCCCTTCGCCCGGTCAGGGATCACTTCCTCTCCCTTTGCCCCACCACGCTCACCGTTGACCCCCTCAAGGAGCGCCTCCTTGCGGCTGAGAAGAGTATAGTCGCTGTAGGAGCCTCTCGTGGTGACCCTCGTGCCCCTTTCTTTGAGGGGTGCTCCCCCGTCCCCCTTTTGCCCTCTGTTGCCTCTGTTGCTGCTGTTGACCTCCTTGGCACCGAGTCGGTCGGCGCTGCGTGTGCTCCTAGTGGGAGGCACCGCAGCGGCAGGAGCAAGGGGAGCAAGGGTGCTGGAGGAGACGGCGGTGGTGGCGGTGGAGGCGGCGGAGGAGGTGGGGGTGGAGGTGGGGGTGGTGGCGGGAGTGGGGGCTTCGGCGGCGGCGGCAGCGGCAGTGGGGGTGGCGGAGGCGGCAGCGGCGGTGGGGGTGGTGGTGGCGGTGGTGCTGATCGGGGTGGCGCTGTGCAGCAGTGAGGTCCTGGTGGTGGCCAGCGCCTGCAGCAGGAGCGTTCTCGTGAGACCCTGTCGGCCCAGCAGCTTCGTGAGTGGTATGCTGGGCGTGGGAGGTATGGGGGTGCTGGTCCTTGTGCTTACGATCTCCGCACCGGCGAGCGCAGCGGGGAGACGTGCGGAGGACCGCACGCCACGCACCGCTGTTTCGGCCGCCTGACGGACGCCTGGCGTACATAGTTTCCAGACGCCACTGAGCTCCCCCGCTGGGGT